CTCAAGATATTTTATTTCCTATTTAAAATTAAGCCATGAACTATAGTACATAAGTAAATATAAGACAAACTTAAATGCTTTAGCTAGTATACTTATGCAATTAATTCTTTTTAATATTTTTTAAAACGTCAAAAATTCTTAGCATGTCTAAAAGCAAAAAAAAAAAAAAAATGTATCCCCCAGGTATACTTGACCAGTTTCTCCTCTTTGAACACCCCAAGGTTTTCAACATCTGAGCCCTTTTTTATTCTGCTCCCTCTGTGATTTTCTTAAATTCTTTTGCAATAAAGATTTAGAGAACAAAAATAAATATCTAGATTATATTATTTTAAGGCTCTACAAAAAGGCCTTCACCCAGTCAAAATATAAGACCATGGTTTTGGCTTTCATAAAATCACGATGTAAGAAACATAAATTTTAAGAATATTTCTATATATTCTGCTAAAAATCAAAGGCATTATCTATTATGCTATCCAATGTCCTTTATATGACAGTCTGAGAGAGAAATAGCCTTGAAAAGTCAGTACCTGGAAAGAACCACTCTATTTTTCCTGATAAATTGCTACACGCTTCCGCCTCCTTTATTCTAATGCTAGGGACGATGCAATCAAATATGTATTCTTTTTTGCCTTGGTTGCCTGAAGATTAGCTAAATTTGCTTTTGAATAGCAATAACCTATCCCGATAGGTTACATAGCCTAATACATATTTGTCTCTTTTATCTTAAAGTTGCAATTTTTTATGACATGTTTTTAATTATGCTATGGTAAAAGTCACCTTATATGTATTTTGAAATATGTTTTAAATTTAATTTTTTTAGATAACAAATGTCCAGTTCATGTTTTTCAAAGAGGTTGATTCCGATTCTATACCATATGCATTGAAATACAATTTTGATTGGTACATTTCAAAAGTCCCTGTTATTTTGAATATTTTAGGAAGAAACTGGGCAAGTACGCTCACTGAATATTTGGAAAGTTTCCATTTATTCAAATATTTACGAAACATCTATTCTACTCCAGCACTACTTTGAGGCCTCAACATACAATTGCCTTTTTCTTTTAATTTGTTTATTCTGGTTTTATTCTGATTCTTCATTTTGACTACCTTTGGAAGCAATCACTGCAAAACTTGGAGAATTATCCTTTAATCAGCAAATAAGTGAACGAGTCTATCATTTCAAGAAAATTCATTAGCTGTGATACTGGCTAAGGAAATAGACATTAGTTTATTTAGATTTTCTTTCCTTCTAGCTTATTTCTAGTTATGAGAGTAGTCTTCCTGGCATGGTCTGTTGTGTAACGATAGATTCCAAAATACTTCACAGTAAAGACCTAGTTTTTCCAATGCTGTTCAGTTTTGATAGACTCTCATACTGCCCATTGCTATGTCTCCTCTGCGTCGTTTTGTGGATGCAGGAGGCAAAAACCTGCATTTTGGTTAAAGCTAAAGCTAAAATTAACCAGTTACCTAATATACATAAAGAACTAGCTGAGTCACTGCATAAGTACAACCACATTTAAGTTTTTTTCTGGATCAGAGGGTTTAAAACCAAGTGTACTAGTTTTCTCTTGCTGCTATAACAAATTACCATAAATTCAGTGGCTTAAACAGCACAAATTTATTGTTTTATAGTTCTGGAGGCCAGAAGTCCAAAATGGGTCTCACTGGGCTAAAATAAAAGTATCAGCAGGACTTGGTTTCTTCTCGAGGCTCTAGAGAAGAATTTATTTCCTGTCCTTTCCGGCTTCTACACAACTCCCACACTCCCTGGCTTCTTGGCCCCTTCCTCCACCTTCTAACCCAGCAGCATTGTGCCACTCGGTGACTTTCTTTCACATTCACATCTTCTTCCAATCGACTCTTCCCTTCTGCCTCCTTCCATTTTCAGAATCTTTGTGATTACACGGGGCCATATGGATAATCCGAGACAACTGCCCTATTTAAGGTCAGCTGACTAGGGACCTTAATTTCCTTTGCCACATAACCTAACATACTCACCAGTTCTAGGGATTAAGATGTAGACATCTTTGAGGGCACCTCAAAGCAGCGTTCCATTTCTATTTACTAATTTGGATTTTCAAAATACTTTAGTCCTCCTACAGTTTTTCAATGCTAGGAAAAGAAGTTGTTGGGGAGGAACAATGTAAGATTACCAACAGTAATAACTTGTGTTTCGGTCCTTAGCCATGAGCTCTGATTCTATTGGGATGACTCTGATACTCAATGAAAGATAATGGATATAGCCAGAATAGCCACTGCCATCTGCTCCTGGATCCATGTAGCCTGAAACTCCTGACTTACATTCCGGGAAACTGATGCTGTGGAACATGCAATCAGACTGTGGCCTCCAGGATAATGTTCTGATGCAATCCAACTTGGCTAGAAAAAGGGGCTTCTCATTAAACTTTCAGAAGCTAAATCCTCCTCCAAAATTGTTCCAATGAGCTTAGAATCATTAAAATTGTCCAACACACTAAGTAATAACGTTTATAGTTTGTTTTAAACATGCAAAAAATAAAAGTAGCCTATTTTTTTCATGCCATTACTAAGGGCTGAGCAGGTGACTATTTCAACAACTATACAATCTATAAGCTCTAAAGCCTCTAAATCTCGAATAATTAAAAAAATAACACTTTGAATGAATGTTTTTATGAATATGTTCCAGACATACTTTCTCACAGGAATCCTTGACTAAAGATAATTATTGTATTTCAATCATAAGTCATAGAAAGTAAAAAGTCTGAATAACTGGCTGAAGGCCCTACACGGAATCTAAATATGAAACAAACTGAATCAAATCTGAATTTATGGCCTGAATTCTAGTAGATAAGTGTATATTTGTGGTGATTAAATACTTAAAACAGGCACGTCCAGTCATCAAATGCTAAAATATAAATCGTATGGCAGTTTACGTAGAGTCAAATTGGCTCTATTGTGGTATGATGTCACACAAAGGTCATGAGAGGTATACTGTTTCCTGAAAGCCTTGTTTTTTTAACACACAGTAAGCAATGCCAATGTGAGAAGTAGACATCTCTCACCCTTTTAACTGATACCCGCAATTTCTACCCCTCTCACCTGCTGACCTCCACCCTCACTCCCCCAAAACTATAGCTAAAACAAAGGTGCTTCTGAGAACTATTCATAGTTCCCATGACCCCGGTAGGATCTCCATCCATATTTCAGCTCAGCACTGCTTGTTGGCAACACTCAAGCAGGCCAACTTTGAGATCTGATTAAGGATTGGGATAGGTAGTGATCCAGGAGGACTTTTATTTGCATAGCCTCTAAAACAGAATTCCGAAAATCTATGCACATATTTTTAAATAACATCTAAACATTTTTAACATAAAGCACTTGAAAAAGGAACATGATTTCATATGCTCTGATACATATTTATCAGAACCTCAGGGCTGCAGATTTCACCATTCAATCTATGGAAAATGTCTGCTCCATAACATAATTGGCAGAGCCAATCCTCATTGACAAGCCAATCAACCCAATAAGACTTTCTGTCAAAACAAGTCTGACTTCGTTTTTTTCAGTCAAATGTGAAGATAGTCTTGGTGACAATCTGCATTCTGAATGCTAAAAAGAACAGATAAATACAGCACGGAGCCTTGTCATGTGCTCATCCCTTGGATGAATGAGGAAGAAGAAAGGAGAGCTGGCAGGCACCCATGCTCATAGGCAGATCAGTTTCAAGAAAGAGATGGAAGTTGAGGATCTGAAAACTAAAACCCTTGAAACCCTCTATGCCCTGGGAAGTCTTGAAGCCCAAAGGCATGTGCACAGTTTGGGAACTGCTGAGAAAAAGCACTTAAATTCTTCTCTGAAAGGATCTAACGTGAAACAAATATAAAGCGGTATTTCTAAACAAAAAGTCCTCTGACTGCATTTCTTTGAGGGACCCTAAGCCTTTGGAAATATCTTAAAACACGTATTATGTTCTCTTCATCAAAATGGAGAGTCCACAATTATAGATTATGATCTTGATTGTGCAGTCTACCTTGTGTATAATCTTGAATGGGCAGTTCTGTCATCCCAGGATTTGCTTCTACGTTTCCTCTAGGCCTTGGAATTCCTTGATTTGTTCTAACCCTCTATCCATATTTGGTCATTGGTGAGTGTGTGTTTCACCCAGTCTAAATTAGTCACCTTTCACCCTCAAGCTCCTAGATTTCACCCCGTATCGTTATTGGGCCTTATGCTCATATTCTTACGCTCTAGCCTTTTTAGTACCAGAAGCGGATAAGCTTTTTTTTTTTTTTTAAACAAACAAAACAAAACAAACAGAAACAACTGCAACTGCCAAGGCTATCCTATTGTGCCAACAGAGCTGCGTTTGCAAACTATTAACATACTTTTAAGTGGAAATATAAGGAGTGTAAAGTCATACTGGTAATGCATTTTGAAAACCTCTCCCCTAATGTTTCTGGGAGGAAAGTTAGAAGTAAATTACTGACAATGGGCAAGAAAAGAGATGCAAAGAAGACAACTTTATTAGGCGCTTTCTCTTCTTTACCAGGACTGTGGTCCTTTCAGAGCAAGGTCCAAGCGATTCGACAACACAATACCCAGCTTCCATCAGTTGCTGCAACTTGATCCCACGGTGAGTGCTCTGGAAAGCACGCTGAGGGCGAATGGGTCTGAGGCCACTCACGATCAAGGTCGTCTGATCCATTTGTTAAGCTGCGATTCTCTCCGAGTCACCTCTTAGCAGCAGGTCCGCGTTCCCCTCCAAACAGCCCACCACCTGGCTGTGCCCACCTCCGTTCGCGCCCCAGCCACCGGGTAACCGGTGGTCCGGAGGTGCTGCTGCGGGGGCAGCCAGGCCTTCAGACGCCATCACTGGGGAAGAGGCGAGGACACGGCTGGAGGCTGGAGGCTGGAGGCTGGAGGCTGGAGGCGCGCGCGCAGGTGCCCGCACCCACCCACCCCTGCACACACGCGGACTCGGTGCGGGGCGCACGGGGGAGGGGAGCGCAAGGCCTTACCAGATCAATGAACGTCAGGAATTTCCAGCTCCCGCCGTAGGTCTGATGCGAGGGCATCTCGATGGCCTTGTAGTTGCACAGGATAGAGCAGTAGGACAGCAGGATCGCCACCCGCAGCACCTGGCACGGGACGAGCGCCATGTTCGCGAGAGGCCCTGCCGGCTGGAAGGCGGGGCGCGGCGGGGCGGGGCGCGGCGGGGCGGGGCGGGGCGGGCGGCGCAGGCCGCGCGGGGGCGGGCGCCGGGGGGGATCCCTGGCTCGGCGCGGCGCGGCGCGGCGGGGGAGGCGGGGTCTGGGGCGGGCGCGCCCCGCGGGACGGCGACCGTGAGCGCCCGGCGACCTGCGCGGGAGGGCGGGCGGGCCCTAGCGGCGGCGGCGGCGGCGGCGGGGCGCCGTGGCGTCAGCTCTTTCGTCATCTCCGTCATTCTGCTCCTGGTCCGCGGGGCCCCGGGAGGCCGGGCCGGGGCGCCCCCTGGGCGTCAGGTGCGCGGGCTCCGAGGGCGGCGGGGCTCGGGGAGCGCGCGGCGGGGCGCGGCGGGCGGCACCTGCGGGCGGGGCGGGGGCGGGGCTCCGGGGCTCCGGGGCTCCGGGCTCCGCCGCCCGAGGTCTGTAAACCGCCTGCCCGTACGTGGTACGACAGGGCGGCCTAGGAACTTTGGGCAGGAGGTTCATAAACAAAAGGTCAAAAAAAAAAAAAAGGGTCATAGAGAAAGGGGTGTCAGGCAGGCAACTGTTTCTTGCTGCTTCGAAACATCTCGTTCTGAGTTTGGAAGCACAACTCGAGCGTGTGACTTAGTACTTGTCCTTTGAGGGTTAAACTGGCATTGCTCTCCCCCCCCCCTTTTTTTTTTCCTAACGTAGGACACCTCAGCTTAATGGAAGGAAAATAAATGCCTTCCAGTAAATGCTGTCGCAGTGAAGTCGCCTCAGCCCGTGGGCAGCATTTTTTTTTTTTTTTTAAATATCATGATCACATTTCAGCCAGCCAGATTCAGGGTCAGACTGTGAAAAGACAACATAGGTATTTCCTGTGGATCCATTTAAAACAGGTGTCCTCTCCACAAATAGTCTCTGAGTCAGTGAATGTGGAGTCGGGGGCAGGGAAAGCAGAGTGTTCGAGATAAAGAGAAAGTAGCAACTCAGGGATGTTTTCCTGAAAATTTCCAAACTCTAAGCCAAAATAGAGAAACCCGTAGGGTTTGTTTGTTTGTTTGTTTTGCCTTATAATTATACTAATAGACATTGATGTCAGGGGCACCTGCGTGGCTTACCTGGTTAAGTGTCTGCCTTTGGCTCAGGTCAGGATCCCAGACTCCTGCGATCCAACCCGGCATAGGGCTTCCTGCTCCCAGGGAGTCTGCTCCTCTCTCTCCCTCCCCCCACTCATATCTCTCTCTCTCTCTCTCGCTTACTCTGCCTGTCAAAAAAATAAAATCTTAAAAAAAAAAAAAAACGAAATTGGTATCACAGAAATCAAGGTAACTCCGAGAACATTCTACTAGCATAAAGTTATTCATTATCAATAATTGTAGTCCATGCAATGTGTTGCAATGTGCAACATGTCCACGCAAAAATTGGATCTATTTCTTTTTGTCGCGTTCTTAAGATTGCAAAGTGAAAAAGTGGATCTACTAAAGATCTTACTAGGTCCTTAACAAAGTTTTACAAGTTAATCTGATAGTCTCAAAGTTCGGTATACCCTTCCTGCCATACATTTTAGAAAACCATTAATAAAATTCTCATTCCCATCATTAGAAAATATAACATTTTCATAAAGTCATTTGAGATTTTAGTCTATGATCAGTTTCTTTTTAAATAAATAATTATAGCAGTCAAATAACAGTTTGAACCCATTCTAATGGGCTTGATTTTGTTATTTTGCATTTGATAATCATTATTAAATAGCTCTGTGGAGTTATTGTTTTGTTTGTTTGTTTTGTTTTGTTTTGTTTTGGAGCAGGAGATGGATATCTGTGGGCCAGAGGGAGATGGAGCAATTCTAAGCAAGAAGGCTTCAGGCCCAGGGTGGAGACCAACATGAGTATTGATCTCAATCTTGAGATCATGACCAGAGCAGAAATCAAGAGTCAGACACTTAGCCCACTGAGTCATCCAGGTGCTCCTGGAGGGTTTTTTTGTTGTTTTCTTTCTTTCTTTCTTTCTTTCTTCTCTTTTTTTTTTTTAATGAAACATCGGCATAAACTGTTACTCAAATATTTTATGGGATGTCAGTCTACAATTTTTGGAACTTCTTCTTGTTCACTGTTAGCATGTCCAGGTTGGGTTTTCCTTTTTTTTTTTTTTTTTTTGGCTTTTTATACCATATCTAATAATCTTAGTTATGTTTTACAGGTATTTTTTTTGTGCGTGTGTGAGAAAAATTTACACAGAGATTGTGTTTTTATAGTGTAAATGATATAATGGGATATTGCTCTTAAAATTTCACTCAGTAAAAGTAGCCTCATTTTAGGAACTGTAATACATTATTTACTGATATGTATTTCTATGGTAACTCTGTATTGAATTAGAGAATACTGTTTTTCACCATAGAGAAGAAATACCTGCATGTCACTTTTTTAGCTTTTTCATTCTACCACACAATTAGTGGTGATAAAGGAGAATACCTTTACCCAGTTGAGGTTCATAGAAATATGTTTCCCACTGAAAGATTTTAAGACCCTATCTTAAATTCTAGTTACCTTAGTGTTGTTTGACTATTGTAATAGCTTTTAACTCTTAGTATGTAGTGTATAGGCTGGACATACTCTTCCTTAAGAACTTCTAAAAACTGGTATAGTCTCTTTCTTTCTTTCTTTCTTTTTTCTTTCTTTCTGACATATTGGTGATGATAATCCTTGCTAATCTTGGAAATGACAAGGACCCCTGTGTCTCCCTTATGTTGTATTCCAAGTAGCCAACTTTATATAGCTGTGGGTCTTTGCTTAAAATTCAAAAGGAAGAATTGTATATATGCATACCCTTATAATAGTCAATGTTTATGCATTTCATTTGGTTCTGTGTTTGCATTAGATAAGCATTTTCTAACAATATCAATATATTTGAGCAAATCCTTTTCCCTCCATATTTGTCTGCACCACAAGGGTAAAAGTTGGGATGTATTTTTTGGACATGAGGAAAATACCCTTGGTGCTATAGAAAAGATCCCTTTGGGTTGCTTATTTTTTTCCTTTTTACAAAAGCAGCTTATGTGTGATATTAAAAAAGGAAGATTAAAAAATTACTCCTGCTCTCATCAACCAGAGAAAACACTACAAACATACAGCACAGACCAGTCTGTTTACAATACATACATAGCTACTTGTGACATACTATGTAACAATTTGCATCAAGCAACTTGTATTTAATAAGAACATTCTCTTTCTATTTAAAACTCTATATAAAAAAAAATTCTATAAAATCGGGGATCCCTTAGTGCCTGCCTTTGGCCCAGGGCATGATCCTGGAGTCCCGGGATCGAGTCCCGTGTCGGGCTCCCGGCATGGAGCCTGCTTCTCCCTCTACCTCTCTCTCTCTCTCTGTGTCTAACATGAATAAATAAATAAAATCTTTAAAAATAAATAAATAAATAAATAAATATATATATATATAAATAAAACTCTATAAAATAATGCCTAACAATTGCATAGCATGACATAATATGAATATCATATTTTTCTTAAACTTTTCTCTGTTTTTGACATTTAGATTGTTTCCAGGTTTTCTTTTGTCACTATAAATTCAGTGTAATGACAGCATTTTGAATTGAGAAAGTCACTTTTTAAGCATTATTTATAGCTAAAACCCATTTAAGAAACCACTCTTTTATCATCTAATGTGTGTGTTTCTTTATAAATGTTTATATGAACTGAGGTGCCAAGGAGAGCTGTTTTGCCTTAGAAGGCAGTTGGGAAAGATTAAGATCTAAATAAAAGGTATTCCTACGTGGCTCAGTCAATTGAGCATCTACCTTTGGCACAGGTCATGTTCCCAGGGTTCTGGGATCAAGGCCCACATCAGGCCACCTGCTCAGTGGGGAGCCTGCTTCTCCCTCTCCCTCTGCCTGTTTCTCCCCCTGCCTGTGTTCTCTCTCTTGACTGTCAAATAAATTTTTAAAAATCTAAGTAAAAGAAGTAGGTAAAAAGTCATACTTTTTTCCAACAGTTGATGCTCATTAGAGATTTTTAAAAATTACCTTAGATATGAAACTCAGTACCATTGCATTTCATTAGTCAGATTTTTTTTGCTATTAAGTAGGAAGAGTAGTTATTTACAAGCTAAATGAGCAGCAGCCATTACAGTTGTGCTGATATTGCTGGTCACAGTAGTTTTCACAGATTTAAAAATGGACTGTGTTTGCTATAGAGAACTCTACTAAATTATGAGATTGGTAAAAACAAAGGATTCTATGGAAAGCCACTGAAAAGCTATAGAAAAGATAGTGTTGAGATTATGCACAAATCACCAGGTAGATCACATATAGATCTGCAACATTCTCCCTACTCCCTGAAGTCTGTCAGTGCATTTGTCAATGATACTCATCTTGCTTGGGACATATCTTTGTGTGCATGTATCCAGATCCAGCACATCCAGCAGGACTTGGCATAAATCTACTTTAACTTTCCCTCTTCAGGGGCACCTGGGTGGCTCAGTTGGTTGACTGTCAGACTTTAGATTTTGACTCCGGTCATGATCTTAGGGTTGTGGGATTGAGTCCCACATCGGGCTCTTTGCTTGTTGGAGAGTCTGCTTGAGATTGTCTCTCTCCCTCTGCCCCTCTCCCCTGCTCCCATGTGTATGCTTGTGTGTTCTCTCTCTCTCTCTCTCAAATAAAATCTCTCTTCAGGAAAGATGTGGTCTTCCTGCTCTGAACAATCTACTTGGATGACTTACTGGTGATTCAAAAACTACATGTACTTATTGTACTTATTATTTCCTTCTCTGGACACTCTGCAGCATTCCTCTTCTCTGGTTACAGCACCAACATGTTATATTAGAAACGTCAGGATGGAGCCAGATGGCCTAGAGGTGCCAGTTTCTTAATACTAAAGTATCTCTGGAAATATGGCAAGCTGTAGGTAACTCATTCACCAGAATTCTCAGGGAGGGGATGGAGCATTGTTAGAAGAAACATTTTCAGAAACAACTTAGGTGATACGATGACAGATAAGAGAGATCTACAGGATCTAGAGTA